AACCACATCAGAAGAGCTTGGTCCACAGCATCTGCATAGGGTAATCTCATCTTCTTTCGATTCAGAGCAAACTTTCCATTGGAGTATGCTGCCACTATCTTCTCTCTATCCATGATAATGGTGTAAATCGACCCTTGTGGAATGTCGAACTGACGACTAATCTCTGCCAGTGGAGCTTGCTTTTGTCAACAGCCTGGATTATTTCGTGTTTTTTTGGGTTTTTTTGGTCAATTGAAAGGCATTTTCTCTTGCGCTTGACGTTGTTGGTGACACATTACGAGTGTGTGTTCCTAGGTTTCGGGCTAGATCGAGGTCTGCAGCACACCGCAGCCCTCTCTTGCTTCACATGCTGCGTGTGCTTGCAGTGGCATGGCTTGCATGGGGGCTTGCTCCATCTCTGTGTTACTCTCTCTCTCTCTCTCCCTCTCTTACTTTTTACACATTGTTAACGAGCCTTTGTCCCTGCTATAAATGGTTGGGCTCCGATGGGGCCCTGTTATTGCCGATAACTTTTAATAGAGACAAAGAGTAGGAAAAATCGGGGATTTTAAAAATCCCTGTTATAACCGGATCCCTGTTATTACCGGGCCTGTTATATATGGTTTCCACTGTAAATAACATGATGCGAAGAGGGGCCAGCTGACGAGTGAAATATCTCTCACTAGTCATCTCCACTGCAAAACATCATCTTTTTTATAAGATCAGGGGGGTGAGCGAAAATGTATTTTTAATTTTTTAAAATTAGACAGTGAGTGACCCTGCAGCTTTGTTGAATGATTTCCCTTTTTTGTCATATAAATAGTGTAAAATTTAATGTGTCTCTACTCTATTAACTGTTTTATTCATTTAATGAATACAGGAGGTCATCTGGGTCTCTCTTAGTTGATAAAAGTGCATGTGATTGTGTTGAATCTTAGACATAAACATTATAATATATTTTATATATATTTATCTGCCCTGACGGCCACCTCTATAAGACTGCCGCTTGTACAAAGGGCCTCTTTCCGTTTCCCCCCTTGCATTTGTCTATATAATTTAACTGTGTAAAACGGGCACCTGTCCAACGCGGCCGCAGCCACCATATTTTAACACACAACCCCTATCACACAAAACAGCACCTGTCTTAGACCGCCACCTCAGTGACACCATTTCGTTTAGTCATAAATCATGCATTTCCCCCCTGGCGTTGTGGGCGAGCCGTCATAATCAAATCACCTGTTGTTATTGTTAGGTAGTCCCTCCAACCGATTATGTTGCGTAGGCCCCTCCCACTGTTGCCAAACAAATTTTCAGCTGCTGGTGAGGTAAGCTTGTGATCCCTCATAACCTATAAGCCCCGCCCAGAACTCATACACAAATCGTAAGTGAGATGAGTGGTCACTGTTTACCCAGTCTGTAACAAAGTCACAATGGACGTCAACATGAACTTGTAACAGAAGCGTTGCTCGTTCTCCGAGTTTTTTCGACCCGTGTGTTTGTTTTACCATAGCACTCGGTCCTCCTTGTCTGAC